TCCCTCTCTGCTTCTCTCAGTCAAGAGGGGTCTTTCAAAGCTTCACAGAAGCCAAGGTTGCCAGGCTTCCTAGAAGGGTTTAGAGAAAACAGCAGTTGTCTTTCTGGGCAAGAAATCCTATGGTGTGGAAAAAAACAAGAGGCGCTGGGCTTAATGGTGCATGTCTGCTTGATAGTGCCTGTAACCCTGCACACAGGAATGAGGATCAGGAGTTCAAGGTCACTCTCTGGTATGTTGTGAGTTCTAGGAAGAGCTGAGCTACTTGAGACCCCGTCTCAAACATACAAGTAAAAACAAGCAAACTAAAAACTCAGACAAACAAATTGGATTCTGCCTTGTGTAGGGGAATTAGAGAGGAACAGCTCTTTGTTTGCTACTGAGGACATGACTGTGACATCATGGGGAAGCGGGGGGAAGCCATGCTTAATTTTAACGTAACTTTAAATTTAATTGTGTAACTGAAATTTTTATTTCAGTGTTTTATAATTTCCTTCAGCCTGTCGTTCCCTCCTTCTCTCCCCCTTGTCCTCTTCCTCCTCTCCTCTCTCTTTCTGTCTCTAATCTTGGCCCAAAATACGCTTGTGCAGCGTCCTGAGCACCCTGCCTGACAATACGAAGAAACAACACCCTACTTGGGACAGAACAAGCAGGCACGAGGACCTGGGCCGAACCTCCACAGAGAGTCAACATCTGGAGATGGAGGAGTGGGTTAATGTAAAGTCTGGGACTAGACTGAAATACCGCGCTCTGGTAGTCTGTTCCTTCTTGTAAACAGGCTTCTCACCATGGGCTGAGCTGGGCGCAGAGCCCAGAACCCTAGCTGGAAAGGGCAGAAGGCGTTTGGGCAGATTGGCTATTCACAGTACTTGTGAAGGTGCCACTGGGTGACAAGAGTGCTTCAGGCTGTGCTGACACTGCTGTGAAGGGGACATTGGGCTCCTAGGCTAGACAGAGCGAGCAAGGCCATTTGGAAAGATCCACACCCATGGTGGCCATAAGGGATCTGGGCTCAGATTGTGTCTGTCTACTTGTTTTGTTTCCCAAGCACTTTGGCTACTTTAGCGATAAGCACCAAAGCAGACAGAAGGATTTTTTGTTGTTACTGGGACATGGGGTCCTTATTAAATGTGAAGTCCAAAGTACAACTGTCCCACGAAGTCTGGAATGGGCCGCCCATAGGTTGGGACACTTGGTCTGGTAATGCAGCTCGCTGGTAGAGAGGACTTGCTTTCTTGAGGTTCTGGGTTCTGGCCCCAGCCCTGGGGGTAGGAGTCAGGGGAGGAGACTTCATATTCATCCATTGTGTGTTGTTTCTCCTCTCCCCTTTCTTACCTGTATTACAGTTCATTCCAGAGGCCCAGAATCTGGGTGCCCTGCAAACCCACTCATCTCTGAGGATTCTTTGTTGAATAAGGATGGGGTACAGAAAGGAAAAGTACCTCCTCAGGACCCCCAAGGCCACATTCTCAGCATAAGCGATCCTTATTTGACCCAGAGGGACAGAGGGCAGGGATAAGGGACAAAGACAGGAGATAGAGGAAGAGGGAAGGGAACAAGGGAAAGGGGACAGGGGTATTTGTCCTGGAGGGACAAAGGACTGCCTGTGAGTTGAGAGGAGACAGATGTGGCCCATAACTGTTTATAAAGGTAAAAGGGGAAACTCTGCGTTAGGATGAGGTGTTTAATCTTAATTTGGCATGTTAATTAGGTGAGTCAAAGGGGACTTTTGATTGCTGGGTTTCAATATTTTGATAGGTGGACCTCGGTAGTCAGCCTCAGGAGGAGGAAGTGGCCAAATAAGGGAATCGACCTTGGGGACTAGCCCTAAGAATATAATGTAATGGTTTTTAGCAAGGCAGAGGGGATGGGAGAAAAGGGCCAGGCCGGCCAGAGCCATGCTCGCCATGCTCGAGTTGTCCCTTCAGGTATGACATTGGGCAGTAGAGGTCAAGTGGCGGCTTCCTGTAGAGCTTTAGCTTTGTCATTGCCAGGGTTCTCAGGAGGCATAGACAGGGTGGCCAGACTTCCCAAATGACTTTTATTAACATATAATTGGTTTTATGTGGTGGCTAATCACACTTTTTTTAATTGTCTCTTGGGAGTCGGTCTCTCCCCCTAAGGTAGAACAGCCAGTATTTATTCAGGAAGCGTCTCACTCATGTGGCCCTGGGTAGTGTGACAGATCCTGCAAGAACAAAACCAAGCTCCTAAAGTTAAACTGCCGCAGAATTTGCAGAAGGCAAGTAAACCAGCAGTCTTCCACAGCCTAGAGAACGCCGAGGGAAAGTTCTTGTCCTTAGATCACCTTAACAGATTTCATTAGCTATAGTGTAAGTGCCTGGCTAGGATATACAAAGATAAATGTCTGTACTTTACCTCCAAGGAGTACAGAGTCCAGAAGGGGAGGCAGACATGCCAGCAAATATTAACAGGGTAATAAGTCACCAGTATGAGTGTGTGAAAGAGTCTCAGGCAGAGGATAAGACCCCTGCCATCCACCTACCCGCCCCAAACACACAAAATTGTTCCAGGACCCTTTGTGAATGCGGTAATGCCCATGGCTATGGCTATGCTAGGCTCTGAAGGACGTTCTAGGCCGTGGGCTGTGGACACAAGCACATGCTGTGATAGGACTAAGAGGCATCTGGAGGCAACACTGCTGGAATGAACCAGGTGATGGTGGAGGTAACAGACAAGTCAGGAGACAATGTGAGATGGTGGAGGACTTGGGTCAGGGGTGACACAGGTAATGGGGAACTATACATGATGGCTAGGAGCCACCCATGACGGAGCTTTGGTTTCATGCAAGCTTGAAGTGGAGCACAGGCAGAGACAAGAGGAAGAAGGCTGCTCCAAGAATCTACAAAGTAGACAGTAAGGGCCACAGGAAAGTCCACAGCACTAGGGATGCAGTCAGTCACGCATGCACTGTTGTGGCCACTGTTGTGCTAACAACTTAAGGAGAAGGGATGTGTTAGGCTCATGGTTTCAGAGGGTTCCCATCATGTCTGCTAGGGATGATGCGTACAGATCATGGCCACAGGAGCACATGGCAGAGGCCTGTCCCATCACAGCACGCCACGAAGCGGAGGGCTATCTGGAAACAGGTGCTGGGTATAACCTGGAAAGTTCTGCTCTTAGTGATCTCCATTGCCCCTTGTGAGGCGCCGCCTCCTGAAGGTCCCACCCTCCCCAGACAGCAGCACTAGCTGGGGAGCGAGCATCCAGAGTACGAGTCCGTGGGGGTGGAGGGACGTGCATGAAACTTCAGATTCAACCCCAAACAGGGAGGAAGGTGGTTACACATGGCAGTGTGTAGGAAGAATTTGAGGGTATTGGCGGCTGGTTGGCTGTGGCTTGTAAGGTACAAGAACTGGTAGCTGAGGAGAGAACTCACTTGGTCAGACCTGAGTTTAACTCCCCATGCCCATGGAAAAGCTGGTCACTGCAGCATGAGACCCATTGTCTCAGTAATGTGGAAGCCAAGATAGGAATGCTGAAGCTCACTGGCCAAGCCAGGCCAGCTAAATTGGTGAGTGTCAGAATGAGTGAGAGACCTTGTCTCACAATATAGGACGAAGAATCAGTCGAGGACATTGACTTCTGTCCTCTATATGCGTGGGGCCTCCATGTGTACATGTGTACACACACACACACACACACACACACACACACACACACACACACACACACACTTGAAGTCTGGAATTGATCCCAGCTTCAGAAAAGCAGGGTAGATGATGACAACACCAACCCCCAATACAGAAGGAGGAAGGAGAAGGACAGATGGGCTGGGGAGTTAGACTCAGAAGTTAGTTAGGCGTATGTCATGAGTGGAAAGAAGCAGAGCTTAACTGCAAACTGGGAAGCTCCTAGAATCTAGGTGTCTGAATCAAGGGAAAGGTTCAAATCTCAGAGAATGCAGAAGAGGGGGGAGACACAGCACAGTCCCTCGGGTTCCTCTGGGTGAAGTGATTACCAGAAAGGCTTCACCAGATGGTGACCCACTCAAAACTGAGAGGAAATGTGTGTGGAGAACATGGGTAAAGGATCAGTTGCTTCTGAGAGGCAAAGAAAAGCTTAGGTAAGGACTTAGAAAGGAACAAGTTGCTAGAAACTTTTAGGAAGACATCTGCACAGTTGGAATGGAAGAGAGATTCAAGGGTTCAGACTGAGGAGGGACGGGCAGAGATGGTTCCATTCAGGTCAGTTCTGAAGCCATGCAGGGAGAAGGGGGTTGGCTAGAAGCAGCACTGGGTTGGAGGGCTTGATTTGAAGCATGGACCTGATTTGAAGACTGATATGAGGTCCCCACAGAGACAGAAGCACATCAATCTAGAGCAAGGTTGGAGACACTGGTCTTCAAAAGGAGGAGGAACACATCTCCATCTCAAACTGTGAGAATGGTGATGAATGAAAAAAGGAATTTTGTTTGTAAAATTTACAAAATTTAAGCCCATTGGTTTGCATTCCTGAAATATGAAGGTCATTTTCCAGGTTGAAGAATCAAGAAAGGAAAAAAAAAAAACAATGGAGAGTGTTAATCCCACCTGGTGAGAATAAGACCACTACCACAATTTTGAGCCATATTTGAAGCAAGCTTTAATTAAATAATGGCCAAGATGATAGACTCTGGACAGGTCATTTCCTAGGCCATCCCAGAAAATGGGAACAAGTCACATTTTGCAGAGGCTTATAAAGGCAAACCCGTAAGGCTCATATTTCCCACCAGATGGAACCAGGGGCAAGCACACATCCTGACGTACTTCCTGTCTGTGTACCGCCACCTACATGTGATCAAGTACATCCTGTGCAGTTGGGTGGAACAAACTTGTTTAGGGGAGCAAAATAATTTGGCTTGTTATCGTACATAAATAGCCTCCAACATTTCAGGAAGAATCTGTCCTTGGGCAAGGGGCTTACACATTAGGGGCATTTTTGTTTTATGAATCTCTTAGGCACAGTAATTAATACTTAAAACATAACTTTGGCTCTTATAGGAGGAGATATTAGTTCTTATACCTACATGGTCAATGGTGAAATGAACTCACAAAAAGGAACTAACAGCATTAAAACCATAGGGAAACTGCAAACTAGCTTAGAACTGGTCACCAGAATCCCAGGGAGAGCAAAGATCTTTCTCCAGCTCCTGCTACTGGGCCAGGTCTGCTAACCTCACGCTAAATAACATCAATTCAAGGAGTTCAAGGCTTTTCCACTATGAACTAAGTGTTCGAGTTAGATAAACTAAGTACAATGAAAAGAGACTGGTAAAGTCATGTCTGTGAAAGTCATGTATGGATAGCACCCTCAGCTTGCTATGAAATCATATATAGACAGTAATCTTGCTATGAAGTCATGTATGGACAGCGCCATCAGCTTGCTATGAAGTCATGTATGGACAGTACACTCAACTTGCTATGAAGTCATGTATGGACAGCACTCTCAGCTTGCTATGAAGTCATGTATGGACAGTACACTCAGCTTGCTATGAAGTCATGTATGGACAGCGCCATCAGCTTGCTATGAAGTCATGTATGGACAGTACACTCAACTTGCTATGAAGTCATGTATGGACAGCACTCTCAGCTTGCTATGAAGTCATGTATGGACAGTACACTCAGCTTGCTATGAAGTCATGTATGGACAGTACACTCAGCTTGCTATGAAGTCATGTATGGACAGTACACTCAACTTGCTATGAAGTCATGTATGGACAGCACTCTCAGCTTGCTATGAAGTCATGTATGGACAGTACACTCAGCTTGCTATGAAGTCATGTATGGACAGCACCCTCAGCTTGCTATGAAGTCATGTATGGACAGTGCACTCATCTTGCTATGAAGTCATGTATGGACAGTACACTCAGCTTGCTATGAAGTCATGTATGGACAGTACACTCATCTTGCTATGGAGTTGCATCTTTCTACAAGAACAGTAGAAAGCAGTGTGGATTGACATGGTTTTATTTTATTTTTTCTCTTTAGCATTTTTAAAATTTAGAAACAATCATTTTACATATCAGTCCCCCCTGTTCCCTTACCCTCCCATCCTCCCATGCCCCCTACCAACCCCCCAGCCCACTCCCACTCTCTCCCCAAGGATAGTGAGGCCTTCTGTGGGGTGGGGGGATCATCAAACTCTGTCACATCATTTGGGGGAGGGCCTAGACCCTCCTCCGTGTATCTGGGCTGAAACAGTATTCCTTCATTGGGAATGGGCTCCCAAAGTCCATTTGTGCACTAGGGGTAAATACTGGTTCCTCTGTTAGAGGTCCCATAGACTACCCAGGTCTCCTAACTGGAACCCACATTCAGAGAGTTTAGTTCGGTCCAACGCTGGTTCCCCAGCTTTACGACTGGGATTCCTGTGCTCTCACTAGGACAGGTCAGCTGCTTCTGTAGGTTTCCCCAGCAAGGTCTTGACTTCTTTGCTCATTCCTCCTCCCTCTCTACGACTGGTTTCCAGGAGTATGTCTCAGTGCTTATCTGTGGGCACCTGCTTCTGCTTCCATCAGCTACTGGATGGAGGCTCTAGGATGGCATTTAAGGTAGGCATCAATCTCGTTATAGGGGAAGGGTATCAAAGGCAGCCTCTCCACAACTGCTTAGATTCTTAGTTGGGGTTATCCTTGTAGATCTCTGACCATTTCTCTAGTGCCAGATTTGCCTTTAAACATACAATGGCTCCCTCTATTAAGGTATCTCTTTTCTTGCTCTCCTTTATTACTCCTCTGACTCAATCTCCCAGATCCCTCTTGTTATCCTCCCCTCTCTTCTTCCCTTCTTTTTCCCTCTAACTTTCTCCCCTCTCCTCCCACGTTCCCAATTTGCTTGGGAGTTCTTGTCCCTTTCCCCTTCTCTGGGGAACCATGTATATGTCTCTTAGGGTCCTCCTTGTTTCCTAGTTTCTCTGGTGGTGTGGACTGTAGGCTGGTAGTCCTTCCGGTATGTCTAATATCATATATGAGAAAGTACATACCATACTTGCCTTTCTGTGACTGGGACACTTCACTGAGGATGGTTTCTTCTAGTTCCATCCATTTGCAAGATTCCATTGTTTTTTCTGATGAGTAGTACTCCATTGTGTAAGTATACCACATTTGGGTTCTGGCTATTACAAATATGAATATAGTTGAGCAGATGTCCTTGTTGTATGGATGTGCATCATTTGGGCATATGCCTAAGAGTGGAATTGCTGGATCTTGAGGTAGACTGGTTCCCATTTTCCAGAGAAACCACCATGATTTCAAAAGTGACTGTACAAGTTTGAACTCCCACCAGCAATGGAGAAGCATTCCCCTTTCTCCACATCCTCTCCAGCATAAACTGTCATTGATGTTTTTTATTTTAGCCATTTTGACAGGTGTAAGATGGTATCTCAGAGTTCTTTTGATTTGCATTTCCCTGATGGCTAAGGAATTTGAGCACTTACTTAAGTGTCTTTCAGCCATTTTAGGTACCTTTATTGAGAATTCTGTTTACTTCTGTACCCTACTTTTTAGTTGAATTATTTGGTGACTAGTTTCTTGAGTTCTTTATATATTTTAGAAATCATCTCTCTGTCTGTTGTGGAGTTGGTAAAGATCTTTTCCCATTCTGTGGGCTGCTGTTTTGTCTTGTTGACTGTGTCTTTTGCCTTACAGAAGCTTCTCAGTTTCAGGAGGTCTCATTTATTAATTGTCAATCTCAGTGTCTGTGCTACTGGCATTATGTTCAGGAAGTGGTCTCCTGTGCCAATTCGTTCAAGAGTACATCCCACTTTCTCTTCTTTTTTTAAAAAATTTATTTATTTATTATGAATACAACAGCCTGCCTCCATGTATGTCTGCACGCCGGGAGAGGGCACCAGATATCATTACAGATGGTTGTGAGCCTCCATGTGGTTGCTGGAAATTGAACTCAGGACCTCTGGAAGAGCAATCAGTGCTCTTAAACTCTGAGCCATCTCTCCAGCCCCCACTTTCTTTTCGAAGAGGTTCAGTGTGGCTGGATTTATGTTGGGGTCCTTGATCCATTTGGACTTAAGTTTTGTGCATGACAATAGGTATGGATCTATCTGCAATCTTCTACATATCCGCATCCAGTTATGCCAGCACCATTTGTTGAAGATGCTTTCTTTTTTCCATTGTATAGTTTTAGCTTCTTTGTCAATTATCAGGTGTTCATAGGTGTGTGGTTTGATGTCAGGGTCTTTGATTCGATTGCATTGTTTCTACCTGTCTATTTTTGTGCTAGTACCAAGCTGGTTTTATTCCTATAGCACTGTAGTAGAGCTTGAAGTCAGGGATGGTGATGCCTCCTGAAGTTCCTTTATTGTACAGGGTTGTTTTGGCTATCCTGGGTCTTCTGTTTTTCCATATAAAGTTGAGGATTGTCCTTTCAAGGTCTGTGAAGAATTATGCTGGGATTTTGATAGGAATTGCATTGAATCTGTAGATTGCTTTTGGTAAGATTTCCATTTTTACTATGTTGATCCTACCTATCCAAGAGCATGGGAGATTTTTCCATTTTCTGGTGTCTTCTTTAACTTCTTTCTTTAAAGACTCAAAATTTTTGTCATATAGGTCTTTCATCTGTTTGATTAGAGTTACCCAGGATATTTTATGTTGTTTGTGGCTATTGTAAAGGATGATGTTTCTCCAATTTCTTTCTCAGCCCATTTATCATCTGTGTATAGTAGGGCTACTGATTTCTTTTTTAGTTAATCTTGTTTCCTGTTACTTTGCTGAAGGTATTTATCAGCTGTAGGGGTTCCCTGGTAGAATTTTTCAGGTGACTTATGTAAACTATCACATCATCTGCAAATAGTGAAAGCTTGACTTCTTCATTTCCAATTTGTGTCACCTTGATCTCCTTTTGCTGTCTTATTACTCTAGCTAGGACTTCAAGTACAGTATTGAAGAGATATGGAGAGAGTGGACAACCTTGTCTTGTTCCTGATTTTAGAGGAATCACGTTGAGTTTCTCTCCATTTAGTTTGATGTTGACTGTGTGTTTTCTGTATATTGATTTTATTATGTTTAGGTATATTCCTGTTATCCCTGATCTCTCTAAGATCTTTATCATGAAGGGGTGTTGGATTTTGTCAAAGGCTTTTTCAGCATCTAGTGAGATGATCATGTGGTTATTCTTTTTCAGACTGTTTATATGGCCAATTACATTTATAGATTTTTTTGTATGTTGAACCATCCCTGCATCCTTGGGATGCAGCCTACTTGGTCATGGTGGATGATCTTTCTGATGTGTTCTTGGATTCAATTTGCCAGTATTTTATTGAGTACTTTTGCATCAATGTTCATGAGGGAGATTGGTCTGTAGTTCTCTTTCTTAGTTGTGTCTTGTCATATAGGTCTTTCACCTGTTTGCTAGAGTTACCCCAAGATATCTTATGTTGTTTGTTGCAATTGTAAAGGGTAATGTTTCTCTGATTTCTTTCTCAGCCCATTTATTGTCTGTATATAGTAGGGCTTGGGTACCCTTGGGTACCAAAGTAGTTGTTGCCTCGTAAAAAGAGTTTGGCAATGACCCTTCTGCTTCTATTGTGTGGAATAGTTTGGGGAGTATTGGCATTAACTTTTCTTTGAATTTCTGGTAGATTCTGCACTGAAACCATCTGGCCCTGGGCTTTTTTTGGTTGGAAGACTTTTGATGACTGCTTCTACTTCATTAGGGGTTATAGGTCTATTTAAATTGCTCACCTGTTCTTGGTTTAATTTTGGTAAGTAATATCTGTCCAGAAAACTGTCCATTTCTTTAAAATGTTCAAATTTAAAGTATAACCTAATGATTCTCTGGATTTTCTCAGTGTCCATTGTTATGTCCCCTTTTCATTTCTTATTTTGTTAATTTGTATGATCTCTCTCTGCCCTTTGGTTAGTTTGGATAAAGTTTTGTCTATTTTGCTGATTTTCTCAAAGAATCAACTCTTTGTTTCATTGATTCCTTGTATTGTTTTCTTTGTTTCTACTTCATTGATTTTAGTACTTAATTTGATTATTTCCTGGCTGCTACTCCTCCTGGGTGAGTTTGCTTCTTTTTATTCTAGAGTTTTCAGTTGTGCTGTTAATCCTCCAGTATGACTATTCTCCAGTTTCTTCATGTGGGCACTTAGTGCTATGAACTTTCCTCTTAGCACTGTTTTCAAAGTGTCCCATAAATTTGGGTATGTTGTGTCTTCATTCTCATTGAATTCTAGGAAGTCTTTAATTTCTTTCTTTATTTCTTCCTTGACCCAGGAATGGTGCAATTACGCATTGTTCAATTTCTATGGGTTTGTAGGGTTTCTACAATTTGTGGTGTTTTTTAATTCTAACTTTAAGCCATTGTGATCTGATAAGATACAGGGGGTTATTCCAATTTTTTGGACCTATTGAGGTTTGCTATGTTGCCAAGTATGTGGTCAATTTTTGAGAAGGTTCCATGTGGCGCTGAGAAGATATATTCTTTTGTGTTTGGATGGAATGGTCTATAGATGTTAGTCAACCCAATTGGGTCATAACTTCTTTTAGATTCTTTGTTTCTTTGTTAAGTTCTGTCTGGTGGTGAGAGTATGTTGTTAAAATGATTTAAGTTTTAGTAATTTTTTTTTACGAATGTGGGTGTCTTTGTATTGGGGCATAGATGTTTAGAATTGAGACTTCATCTTGATGGACTTTTCCTGTGATGAATATGAAATGACCTTCTTCATCTGTTTTGATTGATTTTAGTTTGAAGACTAATTTGTTAGATATTAGGATTTGTTAGATATTAGGATTGCTACACCATTTGATTGGAAAATCTTTTCCCAATTCTTTACTCTAAGGTAACGTCTATCTTTGAAGTTGAGGTGTGTTTCTTATATGCAGGAGAAGGATGGATTCTGTCTTCTTATCCATTCTGTTAACCTGTGTCTTTTTATAGGCTAGTTAAGACCATTGATTGTTAATTCTTGTTGATTTGGATTTGGTGGTGGTGGT